TTTTTTTTGGAATACCTGAGAGTAGTGTTCACTAATGTCGTTCATTAGTTCGTCTAATCGCGTTGTTCCACCGCCAGGAATCTGTATAAATATGTGGCCTTCCAGAGTAACAAATGTCACATATGCGTCTATCTGTTCCCCAGGCTATGAATACAAAGCAAACAAATGAAAAGACTACTGGGATACTGCAACACAACTCTTTTGCCGTTAAAACTGTTAAGTGAGCTTAGGTACTGACTGGAAAACAAATGAAGTAAAAATAAACAATAACAATAATAACATTAATCAATATTATTAGGAGTATTGTTATTAGTAATGCGTACGACCTCTCTTATAACCTCCTAATATATCTAATACATTCACTCCTCATTTATATAAAAGAACAGCATCTTTAAGAGGGAATCATTTTGTTGAAAGTCCTTTTCAGAAAAAGGTGTAAACATTTGGAATAGTTTACCTTATGAAATGCATCAGCTATTCATATGTGTGCCACAACTGTTCGCCTCGTTGAGCTGTTGCTAACTGCGCACAGTGCAAAATTTTAAAGTTAACTGGAGTTTTATACAATTTCTTACCTTTGGTAAGACTGGAACCATTTCCTCGTCTGGAATGACCAGTGATCGTAGTAATCTGTTGATGTTTATGTCTGCACCTTCATTTGAAGTGTCCCACAGTTCAACTGACACTGTGTTACAATTCCTGTAGATAAATGTACACATTGAAAGGAAACCGTAAAAGAGCACTTCCCCCTGTTTCACTTTTTTGTTAAGGCAGTGTGCCAAATTGGTAAAGAAAAGTAGCCATCGTGGTTTATACTTTAACAAAGTAGCGCTACTAAAGGTTAAGTTTATGGCTTTGGAAATAATGAGAAACGAACTAAATTTTTTTTTTTTTACAGTAATTTCAGACTCTCAATAAAATACGTTCTCAAAACAGTGAAAGATAAAGTGTGGTAGGTGGTAGGCATTGTATACTAAAATCCGATTTGCTCAAACACCGAATTCCCTGGGAGAGTCATGTAGCAGCTGCTCGGAAGAGAAGTCACCAGTGGTGCGTTTCNTTACCTTATGAAATGCATCAGCTATTCATATGTGTGCCACAACTGTTCGCCTCGTTGAGCTGTTGCTAACTGCGCACAGTGCAAAATTTTAAAGTTAACTGGAGTTTTATACAATTTCTTACCTTTGGTAAGACTGGAACCATTTCCTCGTCTGGAATGACCAGTGATCGTAGTAATCTGTTGATGTTTATGTCTGCACCTTCATTTGAAGTGTCCCACAGTTCAACTGACACTGTGTTACAATTCCTGTAGATAAATGTACACATTGAAAGGAAACCGTAAAAGAGCACTTCCCCCTGTTTCACTTTTTTGTTAAGGCAGTGTGCCAAATTGGTAAAGAAAAGTAGCCATCGTGGTTTATACTTTAACAAAGTAGCGCTACTAAAGGTTAAGTTTATGGCTTTGGAAATAATGAGAAACGAACTAAATTTTTTTTTTTTTACAGTAATTTCAGACTCTCAATAAAATACGTTCTCAAAACAGTGAAAGATAAAGTGTGGTAGGTGGTAGGCATTGTATACTAAAATCCGATTTGCTCAAACACCGAATTCCCTGGGAGAGTCATGTAGCAGCTGCTCGGAAGAGAAGTCACCAGTGGTGCGTTTCCCTGACCCCAAAAAATACTAAAACAATTGGAAGAATGACATGTCATTGTTTTGTGCGACCAATCAGGAGAGACCTTCCGAGCAACTCCTACATTACGATCCTGGTCCTTGGTACAGTAGGCTTGAAAATATGAAGCTGACAAATTGCAACATATACATTGCAACTTGTTAAAAAAAAAGGCCACAAATGTCTGGTACTTTGTCTGATATACACTGATAACTTGAAACAACACCATAAAGAATGGTACTCACATATTTATGACTTCTGCCACAAGATCTCTGTTGAGTGTCATTTGTTTTAATTTAAGAATAACCTCCGCATTTTTTGTCTTTGGAAGCCCACTTAGACTGATAGTCAGTGCCTTGAAAAAGAAACAAAGAAGCGAACAAAAAAATACCTTTAAAATAGAGCGGTTTTCGTATGGCCTTAAAAAATGGTTTCGTAAGTGTTCGTTACAGTTGACTCCCAATAACTCGAACCCTCGCTCACTCGAACCTCGCGCAAACTCGAACCAATATCGATTTCCCCTGGATTTCTGTCATACATTTACTGTAATTTTACCCTCGGTAACTCGAACCCTCGATAACTCGAAGTAGTTTTTGTTTCCCCTCAGATCATTTCAACATAATTTTACCCTCGATAACTCGAACCATGTTTTGAGCCCTTAAAAGTCAGGAAAAAAAAGCCTACTGGCGTCCCAAACATTGAATTTTGAATTTCCCATTGACGTGTTGTAGGCATATAATTTACTAATGGAGGTTGATGTTGTTTGTCACAAATCTAACGTGAAACAGCTTCTACTTCTCAAAACAGTAAAAAGCATGCTCTATTTAAGCAAGGTTTTGTTATGTTACGTTCTAATTTATAATCTAGAGGTATCTTTTAATTTTCACTTGACATTTCTACAATAAAAGGTGATTAAAATGTTCACAATACAGTAAAAACTGTTTTTTTTCCTTACTCCCGGCTATTTTTTTCGAGCTCCCGATAACTCGAACCTTTTTCGATTTCCCTTGATGGTTCGAGTTCTCGGGAGTCAACTATATTTGATTTATTAGCCAATGGATGAAACGATCAAAACATGAACTCTTCGTTTTCCCGCTAAAGACAACCCTAATATGGAGAAGGCATTGTTCGATTGGCCAATCGTGTAGCAGTATGACGTCAAAGCGAAGTATCAATTGATTTCTAGAAAGTTCTCGGGCATGAAGGTTTCTCACCCGAAAGTTCGCTTAACCAACCAAAAGCCACACGCGTTTGTGTCCGTTCGATAAACCAATCAAATCGCTCTATTTCCGTTCGTTTGTTGTGTCTATTTTGTCTGCGCGTTTTCATTTTAAGGTCATACAAAAATCGCTCTATTCACCAAGATCATAACAAATCAAACAGAATCATCCTTCAAACAATGTAGAAAATAGGTCTACAAATGAAAGAAAAATAAGCAAGAATCATGCTACAAACCTGGAAGGGTAATTCTAAGAATCTTGATGGAATACTTCGCAAGTTTGAAGTAGGTACATGTCCTGTGTCCCCATAATCCAGATACTCAATGTGCGCAGTGTCTCCCTTGACTTTGAGGACTTTGACACGATACCAGAGACCCTCGGAATGGATTTCTTTGGAATATATGGCAAAAATACATCCAGGGACAATCTTGGGCATTTCTAAAGAAAAAAAAACACAAAACAAAACAAACACTAGGTTGGGTCAGCACGATGAAAACTGTAATATACATTCTGGTAATCAGTATTTGGTGTATTTTTAGGGGCATAATGGGGAGATTTTAACGGAATAAAATTTCTTTTAGTTGTGACTTCAATTCCCACTTCAATGTCAGTGTTCTCTAAACAGGGTTCGTACGGATTTTTTGATTCAAAATTCAAGACTTTTTCCCAAAACAATAATTTCTTTTTCCAGACTCTAGGTTATCAAAAAGCAGATCAATAGAGACCTTGAAAAACGCAGGAACAAAGCTTTTTTCATGATGCGCTGCAAACGTACGGGCGAGACTGAATAAGATGTGACCAAAACAAAAAAAATTCACTTATAAAGCACTTGTTGTAGCTCTGAAATAAAAAAACACTCAAGACTTTTTCAAGACTTTATCTCTATTTTCCAGACTTTCTCTAGGTCTGGAAAACTGCTGGGCATATTTCAAGACTTTTTAGAGAATTCAAGACTCTATGCAAACCCTGTCTAAGGTCTGCCTAGGACAGGTTTTCTATTGTGTATATATTATTAAATGTTTTAGTTTTATCTGAAGTTTACAGTCAGTATGAAAAAAAATTGAGTACAAAAACTGGTGTGATCTCTTCGACATGGATACAACATATTTACATCCAATTTATTGCATGGAGCACTCAAAATTAATGTACTACCACGCAGATTCTGGACAGCCATTGGTGGTGTTGAGCATGGGCAATGCTCCTCGCTCTTCCAATTGCTGCCTAGCAAGACACTTATGCCCAAGTCTGAGGCGATTTTTTTCTATACTCAATTTTCAAAGAAAATACTAGGGTGCTCAAAATTAACCCAACTTTACAAGAAGAGCTACTTTACTATGAGATCTGACCTTCAGAGCTAGGTTCTTCATAATGGCACAGCATACTTTGCTCCAAGGCTGTCAGTTTCTCCTAAACAACGCAGTAAGAATTGTTTAATTGAAGATATGATCGTCACAGTGATAATTGCAGTTTAACCCGAAAAAAATTCCGGGACTTCAACGGGATTAAAACCCATGGCCTCTGCGTTAGTGCTGCAGTGCTCTAACCAATTGAGCTATGAAGACCTATACATTGGCAGCAGGCCAATTTGCTGAGTTCATCTTAACCCATGAAAGTAGTACACAGAGTGATGATGTGAATTGTGGAAATACAAGTTTAATTGAAGACATGAACGATATCTTCCATTAAACTTATATTTCTGCAGTTCACATCATCATTCTGTGTTTCACAGTAATAACTGTCAAACGTTCACCACTTGAGCATCAAATAATAATTATTACTTTAACTCCTTCAGGAAACATGTTGCCAACAAAAGAAACTTATTGGCAGTAACCTCCATTCCCGTCAATAAGTTTAAGAGGATACTCACTGAATATTCTTCTCCTGAAAGATTGACACAGATGTTGTCCGTGCTGTGAATATTACAAACAAACACATCCAGAAAGTTCTCATCCTCTGGGACTTGAACCCTCTCTAAAAGGCAAAAAATATTACAGTTTGGGTTAAAGGTTGCGTACCACGCAGATAATAAGACCGCATTACTAGAATCGTGAATAACTCTTTCAACACACCTTTGGTAAATTTGATGACCATCGCCACGGCTTACAATAATTGTTTACACTGTATCTTTCAGATATTCACTCTGAGGGGCCAGCACTAAAATGTCACCTTTTGAATCTATACATACTTTTATAACCTAATGTTTGTGCTTTGCCAATTCTGGTATTGTTGTGGTTCAAGATCGAATACAAGATAAAGCGGTTTCAACTTAGTTTGATTCTCAATTTCCCTTAAATTCTCATGATCTTTCATATTTCTAATCATGAATGATTAGGATTAGAAGATTACATTATTAATAATCATCAATAATTAGGGTAGAAAGACAAGGGAATTTGGAAATTAAACTAGGTTGGCGCCATTTTAACCTGAATCTCATTTTCAACTACAGCTGTATAAGAATGCCATTATTCCTGAAGCTGAAAAAGAACAACTAACCAGGTATTTTCTGCACCTCTTCATCCCTGGACAAGAATCTGTGTCTCAGAAAAGGTCGTGTTGTCCCTTTTTTATCTTCAGATCCTTTTGATTTAATTTCATTGCTGCAGAAGGTGGAGACAAGTAAGATAGAAACAACTTTACATTGGTTAAAAACAACCTACAGCTGTGCTTTAAATTAATATTTACTTTTCTTCTTTCAGGGCCTGGCTTGAAGTATTCTCTCTAATATGGAAGAAGTTATATTCTCAAGACTGGTATAATAATAATAATTATAATAACTATAATAATATCTTCATTTATCCTGATATCAAAAAGCCGATCAGCTGAGCACACAGGACCAGTGGTTATTAACCAGTGATCAGCAACAATATACTTAAGTATGCAAGAAAACTTCTCAGCTGTACTTAACCACATTATCATTTTGCTTTGACAGATCATAACTATCCAAAAAAGTACTGTCCATGAATAAAAATTCAACAAAATTTAATAAAATGAATATTCAAAATCTCTATGTTAATAGAGCCCTGAATTAGCACTTCAGTTCTCAACAAGGAAAAGTAAAAGCATACAACATATTATTTTTATGTGTCCATACGCTGGTGCATGTACATTTAATTAAATTCTTCTTTTCTTTAAACTACATAGTTGATAGCTGTAAAATGTATTGTGTTCAGTTGTGCTGCGTTGTGCTCTGCAGGCTGTTCTCAAGTACTAATTCTGAGTGATAGAGTGTTTATTTATTTAAGTTAAAGTACATGCAACAAAATAACTAATATGTTTTCCTAAGACTTGAAAAAATTATTTTCACTCTTCTCTCAAAATTCACCACAAAGGTTTTGATTTTGCTAATAGGCTAATTTAGCAACAGAACGGGAACGTCAGCTGACGACGGCGTGCACAAATTAAACAACTGGCTTGACCAATAGAAAAGCGGCAAATTGGGCACCTGAAGTCCTTTCCGCCTGCTTTCCTGTTGTCAACTGACATTCCCGTCCTGTTGCTAAATCAGCCTATTATGTGTCTTAATGAGCAAAGACTTAGGGTGCATTCCATTGGGATGATCTGGATCAAGGTCAGTGATCTGAGATCACTCAGATCATGGTAGATCATTAATGAACTGACGAATCCTTTCCCAGGGTGGTTTGTCAGTTCCTTTGATGTGTAACGATTCAAGAAATCTCAGATCACTGATCCTGATCCAAATCATTCCAATGAAACAAACCCTTAGAGAACTGATTCTCAGGGTTTTCCGTAGCATTTGGAAGTACTTGATGCAGAGCTTCAGCTTTCAGACTTGCACTGTTTGTACCACAGCAATAATGCTGAGTGCAGGAGTCACAAACTTCTAGGGGGGTCCAAGGGCATGCTCCCACTGAAAATTTTCATAATTGGACTCTCTAAAATGCAATTTCCTGTATTCCCTGGACCAGAATTGATTAACCGGGAAGGTCTTTTAATACATTAAAAAATGTTCACAAAAAGTGAAACATTTTATTTGGCAATTATAATTGTCAGTTTGTAGATGTTGGTTTTTTACTTGATCAAAAAAACGAAAAAAAAAGAAACAATTTTCTTATTTCAAAAAATAATTATATCGTGTGTGAACTACCGGACGTTACATGTGAAACAACCGGATATTGCGTCTGGCGTCCGGCTTGAAACAAAACCCCTGCAGGGCCGAGTTGTTCAAAGCTGGGTTAAGATAACCCAGGGTTAGTGCAAGATTTGAATTCAAATTTGAAAGATTAAAAAGCATTGCAGTCTTTATTCTTTTTGTCTTCACGTTGATGATTGGAAGCTCTAAAAATAACAGAAAAAATTATCTGAGAAAATGCTTTTGAACAGAAGAGAAAGAAACCCCGTTAAATTTAACCCCAGGTTAAGCGCTAATCGGCCTTTGAGCAACTGGGCCTGAATACTAACCTGCCACTCTCTGAACTGGGTGTTAAACCTGCTTGACTCGATGACAGTGAGGATAAAGATGAAGCTGATGAGGAAACTGTTAAAAATGAATCAGTGGAAGATGAGGTTGACAATGAAGAGATTTTTGAAGACGAGCTTGATGAAGAGGTTGCTGAATCGTCTGTGTCACCCTTAGCATGGCCTTCTTTTTTCATAGTAGCGATGACATCACATCCAGAAGCATCCCTTAACTGAACATAAAGATGATTTCCTAAAACAACATAATGTGCTTGTTAAAAAACTGATAGAAGTACACTGTATAGATCTGTTAACTTCACTTTAAGTAGCTTATTTTCCATGCAATCTATACTTGTTTGGGAGCTACAAAATGACAAATTGAAGTTCTTGCCAATAATGATTTGACTATTGAGAATTATTAGCAATAATTATTGGATGAGGCTGATTTTGAAATGAAGAATTAGGCAGATCAAGGAGGATCAGCGTTTGAAAGAATTATAACACAATAATATACTGTAACTTATAAAATCAATAACATGAAGCTACTTTAGATCGAAAAGTCATGAAGTATGAACCAGCTTTCCAATGCTCTCAAGTGCTACACAACAAAAAATATCGCAAGAGACTTGACTTTCTCTTAGAATGAATGAGTGGTTAGGTAGAATATGCCACTCATATTCATGCAAAACAAGTAATACTACTATCAATAATATTGAACTAAAAGAAAAACAAATTTCAAATTTCAGGGCAGACTCAGAGCACCTTAGCATTAAATTGATGTTCCAAGAAATTACTACCGCTAAAAACAAACCATAAATGGCTTTCCAGTTACCTAAATAATAGAAGCCTTATCCTTTGCCACATGTTTTAACCTTCTCAAAATAACTGGTTTTGTGAATTTTGTTTTGTGCATTGTTTAACATGTTATCCTAGGTATTGTTGTTAATGCATTTCATAGTGAACTTAGACTGTACCTTCAGCTTTGACCGCTTTCATCTTAAGTGTTTCACTGGTACAGAGCTCTCTGAATCTTGCGATAGAGGCAGCACTCCACTTTTCCTACATGACGGACAAATACTAGTTTACTGACCAACAAATCAATACTGACTAATACTACTCAAGTAATAGCTATGTTATTATTGATTGACTGTTAGTTTGTGTCTGGGGCATAAAAAATACCTCAACTAAAACAAGTTCTTTGCCCCTTTATGCCATGGGGGACACTAAAGTATCTTAACGTCAAAAAGATTTAAAGGATTTTATGGGAATCTAGTATTCATTCGGCTAAGAAAGCCTTTGGCACTAGTTTTGAGGAAAACAGCTGTCAGGCATCAAAACCCCCCAACAGTTAGTCATACTTTTTTTTGGCTAATGTTTAAAGAACTATCTTACTGTAATTTATTAGAATCAAGTATTTCTGTTGAAGGGGACCTTTATGGGCACAGTGAAGCTAGAGGATTTCTAAAAGGAATCGCTATGAAAAATCAATAGTGCTTATACTTTTTATAGTTTCTGAATCTACAACAAATTGACTATAAGCACACAATACTTACAATTCTTTCCCCACTTGATCTTGTAGCTTTAAGGTGGCTGGATACAGTTTTTCAGGGTCAATATACCTCCCAAGTTTGAGCATAAACTACATCGCCATAAACAAAGATTTGGAAAAATTGACACCCCAGTTGTATTAGATAAAGATGAAAATTTGTTATGATTAGGGTATTGACTCTGTAAAACTGTATCGAGCCACCTTAAATGTAATATTATTGCAAGACACAACTCCAGTTGGTAGTAAGGATTACACTGACTCATGTATTACATTTAACATGACCTTTTACTTGATTTTTGGTAGTACATACAATGTGAAAAAAATCTGCAATATTTTGATATTAACCCTTCAAGTCCCAATAGTGACCAACATCAATTTTCTCCTAACAAAATCCATAGATGGTCAAGAGCAAAGTCTTTGAGAATTACTAAAATGATCACAAAGAGAAAAGTCTTTGATCTTAAATCAAAATTCTCTCAACTAATTTTTTAAGGAATGTATGGATGTCAGTTTGGAGAATTTGTAGTTGGATACTGGGGCTTAAAGGGTTAAAAAGATCAAGAGGTGGGAATTTTTGAGGAGCATGAACTGTGAAGTGAAGTGATGCCTTTATTTATGGAGGGGAACAATTGACAGTTATGATCTAAACTGATAAACTTGTAGCCCTTGCAAGCAGAGGCTACATTTTTGCTTTATGAAGTAGCCCAGTCATACCATGAAAATGTAGCCTCTGCTCGCTGGGCACTTAGAGAGTAGCCATCTTGTTAATTTTTATGTTAGTGACTTGCACTCTCTCAGTTCTGTGTCTTAGTTTTTTCCCTGACTGGAAACACACAGGGTTGTCAGAAAGTTTTGAAGTAGACGGCTGAGTTGTCAAAGTAAGCGGCCAAGCCTGGGATATTTTATTTAAAAAATGCCATCCATAAAGAAATGCCAAGCAGAGCAGCTGGACGATACTAACCAAGTAGGCGGCGATTTTTGCCGACAGCCGGCTACTTTTGACAAACCTGAACACACCCGTCTCCTTGTGACCCATCCACACAGGAAAGAACTCAAGTGTACATTAAGAGCCTGTATCTCACCCCATTAGGTGGTGTAACTCCTTCAAGTGCACACAATACTGACATCATAGGTAACTCCGCATGTTCTTTCCTTAGCATTCTAAGCCTTGATACAGGAAGAGTCTCATGATTACCAAAGTCAACATATATTACATGAACTTTTGGTGTGTCTCCTCCACTGGGGCTCTCAACAATTCTGGCACGATACCAGCCATCATCTTCTGTAAATTGAGCACAGCAAAACATATCTTTCTCCACAGAGGGCAAGGTATCACTTGCACTAGACTGATCCTGAAAAAAAAAACACAGACACTGATCATGATATCACAAAGACCAGTAAACAAAGTAGGATAGCCATGTGAAAACACAGGAAGCCTTTGATGTGATAGTAGTTTTGGTTTAATTTCTCATTGGCGGTATTGTCAATGACCTGTCTTATTATACAGCTGAATCTGGGAACAGGCAAGACAAAGCAAATCCAGTGTTTTGATTAGTAGTAGTTATTTTTGACCATAATAATAAATGCATTATTGACCACGCTTGTTTGGTCAAGATGGCAGGATATCGGCCTCATTCTTTTTTGTGGTATTATTGATCCATGTGGTCTTGGACTAAAAAAAGAAAAAACATAACTAAGTCATTATCCTACCATCTTGACCTAATGGTTCGTCAATAATGCATATATCTTATAGAGGGAGTGAGAGGTTATCTCCAAGCTCAAACCCTATAATTTGCTATGGGCTAATGGCAATCTGATATTACTAATAAATTATTCTTACATTTATTGCAATAATTATTTGTTTCAACCTTTCACACATCTGGTACTAGAGTTCTATCTACATGTATGCTCAGAAGGTCCAAAAATATATTATCTATGAAACAGTTTACCTGGAAAAATTTATTGAGCTTGGTACTTAGGTCCTCTATGTCTTCCCATTGCTGGTTATGTTGAACAAAGAAGTGGGATGGACTATCCACATGGATCACTGTCACTTCTGATACAGTTCTGCAATTTAAATGAATAGATTAATTAAAAGATAAAGTAATAAATAAACAAACAAAAAAAATCATAAAAATGGTATGGCATTGACATTAACAGCTATATCACAGTTTTGTCCACAGATATATGAAAAGCTTGCATGCATGGAGAATTAATTTACCTGGTCTATGCTCACACATCATGATATCTGAAACTGTTTTGGTCACCATGGTGAGAAGAGAAAAAAAGTGGCACCAGAAATTGCACTTCAAGTCGCCAATTTGGTGGTCTGTGTTTGGTAATAATGCCTTAGCAATTCTCATAGCTAGAGGTTACGGTCTTTATGGTAAGTCAAAGGATGTCATAAACTATTCAAACCTCAGATGCAAGCACAAGCCAGAGGCAAGTGACCTTGATGCAAAGTTCTAAGCATAAATGTTTTAATATCTAAGTCAGTAAACAATGGAAATTGTTATTAGCTGGAAAATTTTTTCCTACACGAGCTCTCATTTGTTACTTCCAGGTCACAAGACACGTAACAATGAAACTGCTTCCTGACAAAATGTCTGAGCGGACAACATCGCAAAATCTATGATGTCAGAGGGTAACAGTGTACTGCAACCCACGAATGTTGACTGACAACCGCCATTACAGCGAGGTTTAATGAATTTCAAGCTTCAAAATTTCCCGCTATGTAACAAATTGAAGATTAGTCCCTTGGGAAACAGTTAATTTCGTTCCCCTTAAATCTCAATGTTTCCTTCGGCTCTGCCTTGGGAAATCTTGAGATTCTCAGGAAACAAAATTAACCTTTCTCCTCGGGACCAGTTATTTAGTGTTTCATAAAAATACTTTATTGTGGGCAATTCCTTTTTGTCAATGATGCTCTCAACGGGCAACCACCTCTCCAAATAATAAACCTGGCAGATATTTTAGGTGACACCATATAGAAGGTTTCAGCCAATTAAAACTGTGACATTTACCCCATTGCTGGCAAATCCTGTGGACGAAGGGTATAAAGTTCAACAGGCCTGGAAGGAACTGGACAAATAACACAAAGGTTACAACTTTGGTTTAAATGTAATCATATCTGTAATGGATTATATCAAAAAATTTACACAGCTAACCTCTCTGTGATGGAGAAGTGTGGTGGTTTATTGGTCCTAGCTAGATTTCAATATTGAGTCTTTCAAAAGAAAATATTAGGGAGTTTAAGATACGGAGACTACGGACTACGAACTACGGCTGGACGAGCGTTGTCCTTTGTTCGTAGCACTGGGTTGAGTCGTGCAAATATAGAACGTAAGGAGATTGCACTACAGACAGTAGACTATGAGAGAAGAGGCGGAGAGGGAAACAACACGCAAAGATTTTCTTGTTTTCATCACAGTTCACAAAAATGCAAGTCAGTTTTGCATGTGATCTTATCTTTAGAACGATGAACAAATTCTTCCATACTTGAAGGAAGCAATTACGTCGGGTGAAATTGGTAAACAAAGTTTTGGTTACACAGGTTTTATTTTTTTGCCCATAATTTTTGAGTCAAATATTAAAGAAATAGTAATAGCTCATTTATTAGATTTAGAAGATGGACTTCTCCGACTACTGATCTGATTTAATTTGAAGTATTGAAATGCCGAGTTTCGATTGTCTCGAAGATGTTTACATCATTTTCATTCAGCAAATGCGATACAAAAACTCGCATAAACAAAGGTTACACAAGTAGAAAGACACAATAATCAGTTCGAACAAACATTGAAACTTTTCAAGTGCGAAGAGAAAGTAAATTACCTGCATGATTTCTCTTCTCCTTGGCCGTCAATCGGAATTCTGCGTATAAACAGCTAAGCTTATTCAAAAATGAAAATGAGGTCACAACAGTGGATTAAAAGCAGAAATTTGAGCAGAAATTGGACACAACTTACATATTTCACTTCCCTCTCACTTAAACCAGGTGAATTGAAAACTTTTTTAACGAAAAGACGAGACGTCTGAATTACCGAGACGGCAAAATACCAGCAAAATGTTCTCTGTAGTCCCGACTACGCGAAACAGCTCAACAACTCACCGTAGCCGCAGGACTACGCGGAGAAAACGAACAGTCACGTGGTTTTGATCATGCGCAGTAGCATGTTTATCCGTAGTCGTAGTCCGTAGTCGCCATATCTTAAACTCCCTATTATTGAAGTGGAGAACAATGACCGGTTTGATGTATTATTTTATAAAATGAAAAATTTCTTACCTCCATTTGACATGTTAACATGGTTGATGGGTGGCTTTTCGTCCTGCTAAAGAAAATAGCCAAGCTACTTACTTAGGTTTCGGCACCAATAAATCACTTTACAATGATGCTCACAAACCATACCCGAAAAACAGTAAGTTGAACATGATTCCAAAAGTAATGCCAAGACTATGCATGTCATATACACACTCACACAAATGTGCCAAAATAACATGATTTTGAACTTACCGGTTTTGGTGGATAAACTATGATATTGCCCCCAGCAAATCTGAAAATTGGAACAAAAACAAAGACATTGACTTGAATTACCAATGATTAACAGAACTGTTAACAACAAAGACAATACTGCACTGGCTACAGATAATTCAGACAAGGCTGAGATTCATCATGAATAATTTCAGCCAATGACACCTTAGTCTTCCTACAATTTTGTGCTACAATCAGTAATTTATTCATGATCAGCTATGGAAAAATATTTGGCAGGAGAACCGCAGGGTGTTTGTCCCCCGAAGACACACACAGAATGTCAGCCCTCCTGCTTCTTTAACATTGCTCTTCTCTACATCAAATGAACTTTCCCTTATCCATGTTATCTCCATACAATTTATAAACAATAAAAAAATGAAACACAATCCTTAACAGAAAGCCTAACAATGTTTAAAATAAGTACAGGTATGTTTGTGGCTATTGATGAGATCTTTCACAACCACCACTTCATTTCAACAGACGGTATCTACACTATCCCTTCAAAACCAAATTAGCACTCCCACAACTTCCTCACTGCAACACCTAAACCAGTTTTACTGCATGATGATTAACAAACTACAGCCATTATCTTACCAATCTACATCCAATATAGCCCCACCCCTACCACTTCACACATCTCAACCAACCCAAAAAATAAACACAACTACTGCACTACTCACACATCCCTAACACACATAAAAAAATTCAAATATGCCTAGGACATCAATGCTCAACTGTACGCTCCCACAGCGTCTTGTTACTAATATGATACCCACAACAGATGTTCGTGTTGTATCACTTACTCTTCACATCTTGCTATAGTTGGTAATTTCCTCAGTGTCTCTAGCTTCTCACTGGATATTTCTTGATTATACAATTTCTTATACTCAGCACCAATACGTTTTAACCACAATCCCTTGGGCTTGTTTTCTAATAACTAAACAAAATAGAATGCCTTGTGTTAACTCTTTAATTACACATAAAATTTAAACATAAAAATAATCTCCTCACCTATCACATTAATGTTTCATAAGGGGTCAGTGGAGAGAAGATGAAATCAAGAATCAACTTTACTGAAGAGTTTGAATTGACGTTAAGGCTTGATTGCGGAGCTCAGCATGTTATAGGATGTGAAGTGACACATTTACTAGCAAGGAGTCCAAGGCATATACTTTTTGTGTTTACCTTGTATGGGACATCCTTGTTATGGTCAATATTGACAGCTGTCCAAAAAGGGCATCTGCTGACCAGTGTCACATGACTGTATCATGGACTCAGGTATACAACTCATTGATGAGGTGACACATTTTTTAAAGTTGTCTGCTNTTTCTTATACTCAGCACCAATACGTTTTAACCACAATCCCTTGGGCTTGTTTTCTAATAACTAAACAAAATAGAATGCCTTGTGTTAACTCTTTAATTACACATAAAATTTAAACATAAAAATAATCTCCTCACCTATCACATTAATGTTTCATAAGGGGTCAGTGGAGAGAAGATGAAATCAAGAATCAACTTTACTGAAGAGTTTGAATTGACGTTAAGGCTTGATTGCGGAGCTCAGCATGTTATAGGATGTGAAGTGACACATTTACTAGCAAGGAGTCCAAGGCATATACTTTTTGTGTTTACCTTGTATGGGACATCCTTGTTATGGTCAATATTGACAGCTGTCCAAAAAGGGCATCTGCTGACCAGTGTCACATGACTGTATCATGGACTCAGGTATACAACTCATTGATGAGGTGACACATTTTTTAAAGTTGTCTGCTGACCAGTTTTTGGTTTTCATTTGATCACGGGCTCAGGTCCTTTTTTTCAGAGGTGGAATAGGCCATTTTATAGTTATGGATGCAAGCAAGGCTGGAGTTGACCTTGTTTTGATACAAACCTTCCTGCTTTATTACGTAAATCAATTTTTTCTTATGCTAACTAGTAGTTTTCAAGGGCAATTTCCATGACAAATCCCAAGCAAAGGAGGTTTGTAGTAAAACAAGGTCACCATCAACCTCAAATTCACTTGAAGGCTAGGGTACTAAGTCCACAACTGTAAAATGGACGATTCAGTTTCCTTAGCTTCCTGCTTATGGCAAAAGTTGAATTTCTTGAGAAAGACATTTCTTAAAAGATCCCTCGAGAGCTTCACTTTTGGCCTTGGCTAAATCTATATTTCAATAACGTTGAATTAATACAAATAATTATATACTGAAAGCTAGAAGAAATAATATGCAAAGCACAAACAAGAAAATAACTTACATCTCTAATTCTGGAAAAAATTTCCAAGTCTACAAAGAACAGAAATATAATATTATTAACAATCCTCTTTGGCAAAATGGCTGTCTTAAATAACAAACTCCAATATTTTTCAACAAGGTAATATCTTAGTCTTTAATTGGCCTAGCTTTGTGACTTAAAACCACCCACTTTGCGTATTTCTTAGCTCCAAAAATCCAGATTCTAGTCTATGAACAACCTCAGATTTTGTTTTCCCTCAAGACGAGTTTTCACTTGTGATAGAGTTTGGAGTAACCCAGAAGTGCAGAGCATTATGAGAAAATCAAACAGTTGGAGCTGTAAGCAGAGTTGCCTGTTCCAGTCATTACTGACTGATAATGATCTAGTAAGTAAAAAGTACATTTATTTATTATTGATACCAAGTCTCCCAAGCTACCAATCTTACTGCTTAAAACCAGGTATTGTGACTGGTTTATTCTTCCCTAGCAGGTGTTTTCCATTCCGCCCAAAGCTAGATTGTACTGCTTGGACATGTTAAAATAGCGATTATTACATAGTGTTAATTAACTCCCACAAGGACATTTTTTAGCTTTATAAATGATCAAGCTGCAATAAACTAGGAACCATCAAGACAGAGCAGAAAAATGTGACCACATTTTTTTTTACTCTCTCCCATGGAGTCGTCAGTGTTTCAAGAGTGTACAGAGAAGACTACAATATACCGAATAAACCTGTTGAAAATGCAAAAACTGGTTCATGATACCCTTCTAAGTGGATACCACATATATCCAATTCAGCAGGAATGTTCCTTAGAGCCGCCTGCCGGCTAATTTCACCAGCTGAAAAGGACCTTCCCATACGAAACTTGCAGCGCTGTACAGCACCACAAAAAACGCTTGAAAATGGCTGTACAGCTCAATTACGGCTGTTTATCAGCGTTTTAAAAGTCAAACAGCAGCTTCAATCAAGTTGCAGCCATTGAAGCTCTTGGCTGCCGTTTTACAGTACAGCTGCAGACTTCAAAATGCTGCCAAGTAGTAAGTGAAGGGTTACGCGATTGTAGCTTTGGTTCATCTGATAGTTCACAGCTTTCTTAAGCATAAACAACTTGAATCACTGTTGAATTGCTGCAAAAGCTTTTGCCACAGATAGTGGCTCTTATAACGAGAAAACACCTTCCATAAGGGTTACCATTGGCTCAAGTCATTCTGGAAAAAGAAAACATGGGGTAGTTTTGAAGGTACAGTTGAGAGAAAAGACAGCTTAAGTGATCAAAAAGCCTGCTTAGCTTTTCCTAAGCTGCATTCCCTGTCTCAGTCTTCTGCTTTTAACTCCAATTGCATATACATGTACAGTGTAGGTCACGAGTGACAGAGAACATTGGAAATTTTTGGGTGGGGATGTGCAGCTGGGAACTAAGACCTAGTTGATCTGAATTTTTCTACCCTATACTAAAGGTAACTCTCTAAATGTCTCCATACCCTAGAGGAGTAGTTAATAACAGTAAGCTTAAGCAAAGACCTTTTTGAGCAATGCATGTCAACCAGAAGTTGTCTTTTTTTCATTTTTGACGGCGGTTTTGCCCAAATTCTTGGACACTAGTAAAGACACTTAGAAATACAAATTTGTTAGCATCAAGGTGCTTTAAAATGAAAAAGACCTCACTTCCAGTTGACGTGCGTCGCTTAAAAACGCCTTTGCTTAAGCTCCCTAATATCCAGTGGTGTTTTCAATGATGGCCATTAACAATTTTTTTAAATGCCCCCTGATCAATCTTTATACTACAATTATTCTGATACAACGTATTAGTTAACTGAAGTAAGTAACTATGTAAGTTTCCCTTTTACCTTCATTATTAAGTGAGTCAAATAGATCCACTGGGTCTTTTTCCTCTGATGCTGATGAATCAGACAGAGAAATAACACGTTTAGGCTCCTCATCATCAGCCTTGAATGTCACTTCCATCTGTTGCCAGTTTGGTCCACCTCCTAAAGACATTAAAGACATGAATGAGCTAAAAAATGGAAAAATGATATATAATGAAAAAATAAGGAGTCATTTCAGCCTAACTTTCTTGAAAATCAAAATATTTTGATGTTTTCTAGAATCACAAGGTACAAACTACTGACCTATAACCTGAATGTAAAGGCTGGCTTCCCTATCCTCTCTATGGATATTAGGAATACTGAAAAAAAAAGTCCAGCAGCTGCGCACAGCAGTTTTAGGGAAAAAACTCTTCAATGACTGTAGTGTTCCTTGCAACCAAGGTTGCTTGAACTGGTTTTGCACTGATCCCTATGATCACTGGAGAAATAGTGATACTATGCATACCAGCCTTAAGTTTTCCCACCTGCCTAAATCAATCATTAGTAGCCTGACACCCCTAGATAGTATTAGAGCCTGCCTTTAGAGCCTTTGGGTCTACACTGTTTGTAAAAACTTTCCACTCTTGTAATCTGCTCATTCTAAAGTAACAATAATTATTATAATAAGTACTTTAGCCCACTACAGGCATTTATAATAGCAGGGAGTTACACAGAGAAAGCATTGTGAGTGGAAAAAAGGAAGCAATCAATTTTGCACCTCCTTTCACATCAACACTCATAAATTTTACTTTCTGTGCAACTCTGTTTGCCCCACTTTATAAATGCCTAGAACAAGCTAAATGTACCTGAGCTCTTGGGCTTCTTTTTCTTAAATTTCTTTGAAGACAGTTCTTCTAAAATACAAGAAGCAGAGTGTAAAGCCAAGATGTTTGCAGTGTCACCAACATTTAGTGCTACCCACTCATCTCTTCTGGCTCTAGAACAGCTTCAAATTAATCTTCTTGTGCATCACACACTATTTTTGTCTATTTATATCTGATTCAAACACCGCACCACATGATGACCTAACTAACATCAGAGGAACAACAGTAAAATCAGTTTGGTTATAACCGGCAGTTTACAGTTACATGTAGGTACAGCTGTACAGCTAGTGGATTTCCACTGTCATCAAATTTTTATGTGCTAGGTGCGTTAATTCTACTGTTTAATCACTTATAGACCCAGATAATTACCCTGTATTGAGTCTTCAGAGATGTGCATGCGACTCAATGCTACCTACTGATTAGACATATCTCTGATGATCAATAAAATAACTTTATTATTTATTATTAAAATGTGGCTAAACGTAGGTACTAAATGTGGCTAAACATCTGTAAGGTGGTCTTGGGCTTTGGCAGGGCTTTAGCAATTTTAGAGCGCTTTTGCACAAGTCAATCATTTTGCTCATGTTGCCTTCACATGCAGTAGCTTTAGCTGATTTGCCTCCAGCCCCCTCCCCTTTTGATGTTTTTCTTGGCGAGTATCTGCGCATTTCTCCACTGACGTTGTCAGTGTGACAGTGCCTAGTGTGTGCCACTCATAGGGTTGTCATGGTTACCTTCTAAGCTTGCTTGCGGCTCCCTTCAGTTTCACCAGGCACCTTCCCCACTCCCATCTATTGTCGATGGTTTAATAATAATTATTAATAAATTCTTCAAGGAGTACGAGGCATTTAGTAGGGGCCATTTTGTCATCTTACACTGCAGCTTTGATTCCTTTACGTACAGTGATCTTCACATGATTTAAACCTAACGCGTTAATTGCATGTGATTATTTTAAACTCCTCCTATAAACTCATTGGGTAAATAAAGGGGCCATCCTCAGAGCTAAAATTCGTCTATTGATCAAATTCTCCACAGTGACTCCCATACATTCCCTTGAAAAATTGGTTGAGAGAATCCTTCACTGATCATTTTAATAATTCCTGTAGCCTTTCAAATTGATTATACGCTGATATTGTTAGTGTTCTTATGACTTAAAGGGTTAATAAAATGAAACCCATTTGCACTTTTTAGGGCCCCCAAAATTCAATTTTCCCAAAGGTGCAGTTCAAATGTCGAACCCCATCCCTTCAATTAAGTACATGAAGAGAGGAACATTTAAATCATTCAATTCCTCTATATCTAATTTGGGTCAACCCATGAATTAACATCGGGTGGCCTACACGGAAATTTTGTCTGTGGAGCAACTTTGTTTCAAACATCGAACTTCTCAAGTGCCAAACCTAATCCACAAATTACTATAATTTATTTTCAGTGGTAAGCATTATAGACTATTGTATGTCATGAAAATTGAGTCCGACTGATTAAGTTCGGTGTCTGAATCTGGTCGACCTAAATAGGAATTACAAGTAAGTTAAGTACATGAAAAGTGCAACCTTTGAACTAGGCTAAAGAAGTCTCCCAGGCTTCTCCAGTACTCCAGTAGAAGGGGGATGATATCCCCCTTGTACACCTAACCCTACAGATGAGCACCCTATAATCTAATCTAATGTCGCCTCCTTAAATAATTTTTTCCCTCTACTTTAAATTTACTCCAGGCCCTATGGTTGCGTTGCCCAGGGGGGGACACTTCCTTATAAGAGGCTAATGGGGATGTGCCGCTGGATGGGGTCGCATTTTCACAACTGGATTGACTATAATTGGGTTGCATTTTCAATAGAGTTACTAGAGTAGGGTCGCACATTTTTGGATTTTTGGGGTAAGAAAGTTGTTCATTCATTACAGTCAGCAAACATACTAGAATATTAATTTTGTACTGAAGGTGACAAGTAAAGTGTTCTTCATTCAATTTATTAAAAAATAGGTCAATTCATTTTAAGATGACCTATTTAAAGGATTGATAAGGTAGATACATAAATAGCAAGTGACTACGTTCAGATAGCGAAAATTACATATTTGCCCAAAAGTGACTAAGATGGGGTCTTCAATTGGCCACAACATAGACTATAATGGGCAAGGGGCACTGAGAGGCCAGCAGCACATACCCAGCAAAAATTAACCCAAATAACTCCCCCGGGTTGCATTGTGCTTATGTTTGGATTGACCCATTTGTAAAATTACCCTGGATGATGTGCACACAGATCTAGATCCAAGTATTTCATACCTTGGAGATTCTCTTGTCCCTTTCCAGGGAATCCGCGCGGAGGTGAAGTTTTATTGACGGGATGAGAGACAGCCTTATTTACAGCCTGCTTCATCATCCTTGGGGGAACAAACCGATTTGTAACACCACTCCGAGGTGCTGCAGCAGATGCCGTAGGCCTCTGAATCAAAGTATTTGTATTTGCAGGCACCGGTGTCACTGATTTAGCAACAGCTCGTGCCACATGTCTTGCAGCTGCACGATAAGTCAAACTGGAAACAGCGACTGGTCTGTAGTTTGCAGCACCTATGGGTCTATTTAAAGCTAACGGTCTATTAATAGTAGGCCTTCTTGACTGGGGCCTTCTAGACGGGTTAGCTGCACCCTTTGAACGCTTTTTCGGTTTCCTCTGTTTTGCGATCAATTTTGCAACGTGTTGGTCAGATTCACTAGCGACTCCCTTAACAATAAATTCTCCATCCACGTCCCTTGTTAGTGCAGCTACATGAGGAATGCTTTTAATGTAAGAGTCCAGCGTAGGAAAGCCCAGCTCCGGGTGAGGAATTGACGAGTAAGTTATGGTACTGTACTCCTTGTTCAAGCGACGTAGAGGCACTCCACGAGGGCTGCTGATTAGAACTGCCCTCAACATTGCCTCTGTTTTCTTCTTGAGCTCCTCCATTTTACCAAATAGTTATCTTGCAAAGTTATTAAGAATCTGGAGGGTCAAGAGTTATAATGACAGGGTTATGAAGTCTCCGCAAAACCTGTGAAGGAAGCCATCGCACAAATATGGCGCCTCCTGCAGAAGTATAGAACGTGAGGTACTGGAACTGAGGGCCACTTATTCCCCTCCATCCTCCCCTACTTCCATGTTTTTGTTTCATTTGCTTAATTTATTTACTTATTTTGTTCATCTTTTTGCTATTGTTTTCTCCTAAATAGAATATTTTTAACCAAAAAAAGTTCAGTCTTTGGTAAATGAAAAATAAAACAAACAGCGCAATAAATTAGCTCAACAAAACAATCCTTACCCATCCCTCACTCCACTTTCTATTTTTTTTTTTTGCCCAATCGATCTCCCAGAGTTCTTTGCATTCGCTCGTCCTCTTCTGTCCTGTCCGTCCAAGATGGGTGAGTAAACTATGAAGTCGTTGATTTCAATCCATCCAATCTTGGTGAAATCAACAACATCAAGCGTTGTAGTTAAACCCTTTGTATAAAATAAACACTAAAGAAGTTGTAACTTGATTTTTAGCCCAGACCTGTGGCTCTGTGTTGAATATCTGGGATGTAGTGTGCATGAGATACATTTCTCATATTGCCACCATTTCAGTTATTTTCGGGGTGCCTGCATTCCAAATGTTAATATTTTTCTGACATGTCTTTTGTCGCATAATAACATTCAAGGCTAAAACTGATTGTCTGTCGCTATTTTCCTGTGCAGTACTTGGACATGTATGACATGAGGATTTAGTTTGTCTTGTTGTTATTATGCGATTTCTTGATTCACGTGCTATTTTTTCCAGAATAAGCAGTAAAAGAATTCCCAAGCTTTCGGCTCAGATTTATATATTTCCAGCATATCGGCCTTTAATCTGATCATCACTCGCATTAAATCAAACAACTGTAAATGTTTTGTTGACTGGTGACAAATGCATTGAAGACCGAAACACAATTTTTTTCTTCTTGTTATAAAGCATCTGTTAAACAATTTCTTCCAAGTCTGCTGGACACACAGTCAACAGTACTTGACCATAAGACTTTCCTGAGGATGGAGTTTTCTTCAGAGTATTTTACAGAAACCTTGCTTTATTACTTCTTCGTGTTTTGTTTTTGGCATTTGTTGTTTTGTTGCAAAATAAACATACTTCACTTGCTGAAAATGGTGAAAATTTAATAAGCGCCCACTCTCAAGGTCCAAAAATTTAATTAGGGCCCAGGGCGGTTAATTGAATAAATACGGTATCTTATTGTGCAAACTGCTTGCATGTATGTCAAGGAGTTACGAGTTATTACACCCAGACATGAGTATGCTTCAACTGAGAGGTTGCAGGAAACCTTGAAATAGTTGATCGCAGTATAACAAAACCTGAGTAAACTTACATTCCCTTGACAATTGTGATATTTTAGGTCATTGTAGCAATATCGTGTTGCTTGAAAGCATATGATTGGATTGATACTGTATGCTCGTCTTTATATTTTAGGAATTTCCCGTGATTCTTGGCATAAGAGGCGAAACACTGGTGGTAAGAAAACAGCAATTAGAAAAAAGAGAAAGTATGAGCTTGGCCGACCACCAGCAAATACTAAGGTAGGGTGGAAAAAGAAAAGACTCTTTTTTTGTGAGATTTCCTTTTTCTGCAATGATTGCTGATTACATATTAAGGGTGGATTCATTGGCAACATACGCGTATAGCTGTGACCTTTGCTTGTTGAAATTTTTTATTGTTCTTAGGCTTAGGCTCAGCAAATTAACTTGTTTTCAAAGGCCAATGATTATAGAGGTTTCTGAGGGCTTTGTGGCTCTAGGAACCTTATACAGCTATAGTATGAGCATGTCCTGAGACATGTAAGTAATAAAATTCCCTTCTGTCTGGAATTTATTCACACGGTAAGTGAAGAAACTATCCTAGCATTCATGTGTTGAATTAGGCTGTGTTGGTGTTTGCTTGCAGCTTGGAAGTAAGCGTATTCACAATGTACGCACCCGTGGAGGAAACCAAAAGTTCCGAGCACTGAGACTGGATACTGGCAACTACTCTTGGGGCTCTGAAAGTATGTGCTGATTTATATTACAGTGAAACCTCTATTAAGCGGACACCTTTGGGACGTTTCCAAGTGTCCGGTTAATAGAGGTTGTAAAAATTGGGCAATGTTTGTTAACAATCAACATTCATTGGTTACTCTGTACTGTGATAAAGTTGCATGTTGTTAAAGAAGCTATCCAGAGTTCAAGTTCATTACCTTTCATTACCAACTTTAATTTGTTTGTAAAGGCAAGAACATTAACTGACTTCAGTCCGTATTTCAAGGAAGTAATCCAATACTGTCAATTCAGTCCGGTGTCCGCTTAATAGAGGTTTTTAACAATAGAAATTAGCCAAATACACCTTATTTTAGTGTCCGTGTTCTCTTAATGGAGGTGTCCGCTGAATAGGGGTTCGTTATGAAGGGAATTATAAGATGTTAATTTCAGGACCTGGCTTAGTGTCTGCTTAACAGAGCGTGTCTGCTTAATTGGGGGCCCGCTTAATAGAGGTTTCACTGTATATTCATTTACAAGGCTGTCACTTAGATTTTAACCCTTAAAGCCCCAAGAGTGATCAATGTCAATATTCTCTTAACAATATCCATACATCATCAGAGAAAAGTTTATGAGAAGTAATAAAGTGATCACCAAAATGGAAATGCTTGATCCTTTAAGTTGTCTGTTGTCTTACCTTTACCAACCCCTTGAGAAAATTGTATTTTTTTGTGTGTGTTTCCAACATATTGCCAAACATAAGCTTCCAAGGGCAACATGATGAAACTATTTGGTGGAAGAGTGTGTTGCTGTTTTGGCAATTACATCACTCTTGTGACCATATTTGTCATAGTTACACTGATTGCCCTCCTCTCCAAATATTACTTTTCCACAATACAAATTGCTTTTCTTTTAGCTGTAAAATATAAGTACAATATCAACATAGTAGATTATTATATATACCTTGTTAACTATCCAAGTGTAGAACTTGCATTGTCCGTCCAGTTGTAGACTAATTTTGGCATGGGTGCCCAATCTGAAGTACATGTATAAAAGTTAAAATAGCAAAGTTGCAGGGAATCACTATCCCTTTCTGTGCTTGTTTGAGATGATAGTTGGAAAAGTGTTCTTATTGTGATTAGTACTGTGCAATAACATGTATTTTCAGGAAAGGGACGCATCAGATTGTCGTCATTACCTAGAGTGGTAAACCTTATGACAAAGGTGCCAATGGAATTCTTATTAACTTTTTTCCTGACAGGCTAGCTTATGTTTGATTGTTTGTTTGTTTGTTTGTTTGTTATGCTCATGTATAGGCGTGACCCGCAAGACCCGTGTCATTGATGTGGTGTACAATGCAAGCAACAATGAGCTGGTGCGAACTAAGACTCTTGTAAAGAACTGCGTTGTTCAAGTAGATTCCACTCCCTTTAGGCAATGGTAAGTTTCAGAAAACAAAAAACTTCTAAACGTGTCATTAAAGCAAATTAGGGCGAGGGCCCAGTTGTGCAAAGGCTGTTTAGCACTAACCCAGTGTTAAATTTAAACTCGGGGCCGGGTTGTTCGAAAGACGGGTTAAATGAACCTTGGGTTAGGTGTAACAAGAGGTTGAATTCGGGGATGTTTGTATGACACCGGGAC